CCACCCTTCTCTTACTGTGACATAGCACGGAACAAAGGCAGAGCTGGAAAGGCCCTTTGAGATGGGCCAGCCATGGCCCTCTGTGGTTTTCAGAGGGAATGGTAAAAGCCCAGAGAGAGGAAATGGTTTGCATAGGTTCATACAGTGGAAGAAAGCAGTAGTCATATCTGGAGCTCAGGTTTGCGAGATCCTATCAGGGAGGAGGAAGTGATCATGGGAAACTGAGATGTGCTGTAGAGTCTGAAAGGAGGCTCTTGAGGTTGGGAGGCCAGAGAAGGCTGCTCTGAGGCTGGCCCTGGAACAGCTATGCACAAGCTGTCAGGCACAGGAAGCAGCAAGTTCGAAGGAACGGAGAGGGAATGAGCCAGAATGACTGAGGGGAGATGCAGCCAAGGTCATGTGCAGTGCCCGATAGGGTGGGGCCTGAGTCTACGAAAGCAAATGATACAACACAGATGACTCTGATCCAAGCAGACTATTCTCCAGTGAATACACCAGACAGCACGTACACCCAATGATTCCAAACTCTTTAGTCCTCAGGAAAATGCAAATCTGAACCACGGCAGTACCACTTCACACCCACCAGGATGGCTATGATCCGAAAGGCAACGCAGAGAAACCAGAAGCCCTGTGCATTCTGGTAGGAACAGTGCAATGTCTTCGGAGCACAGTCTGGCAGTTTCTCCAAAGATTACACATGGCATTATCATATGACCTCATAGTTCTGTTCCTAGGTATAGAACCAAGAGAACTAAAAGTATGTATCCTCCAGAGAGGCCTGTACACAGGTGTCCACAGCAACATTACCCATAATAGCCAAAAAATGGAAACAACTTAAAGGCTCACTAACTCTTGAGTGGGTGAATAAAATATGGTGCTGAATTCCTCATGTAATGGAATATTATTTAGCCATAAAAAGGCATGCTATATTGATACATGATACAACATGGATGGGTCTTGAAAACTTTATGCTAAGTGTAAGAAGACAATAACAAAGCCATATACCACGTAATTGTATTTATATGAAATGTCTAGAGTAGGAAAATATATAAAGAGAGAAAGTAGGTTAATGAGTGGGTGGAGGTGGAGACTGGTTGGGAGTGACTATTAATGTATACAGATTTCTTTCTGGGGTCATGAAAATGCCCTAATATTATATAGTAGTGATAATTAAACAACTTCGAAAAAAATCCTAGAAACCATTGACTTTTATGGTTTAAGTTGGTAAATTTTATGGTGTTTTTTTAAAGACCACCCTGGCTGCTGGTGGGGACAGAGTAGAAGGAAGAGGCCAGTTGGCCAACAGAGCAACTACAGGCTCAAAGTCCCCATATGTAGGAGGCACTTAGGGCACGTATGTGGATGCTGTTGGTGTGCTAAAGCCCTTCTCTTCTAACCCAGGGTTTCTAAACCTCAGCACTGATGACATTTTGGACAGGATCATTCTGTGCTGCTGTGGGAAGGGGCTGTGGAGTGGACAGCGCAGTGTTCAGCAGCATCACTGGCCTCTTTCTGTGAGACACTGGCCCACCATCTGTGACTGTCCTGTACACTGGAGCCCCTGCATCCAGCACACAACCTAACATTTCAAGGTCACCATGGAGTCACTTCAGCAGGACACAGAGCAGGGGCACATTGCTTTGCACAAGGCTTCTGTGACAGTGGCCTAAACTTTGGCTCAACTGAATCTGCCCACCCTCCCTGACTGGTTTGGAGCACGGGATCTAGATTTAGAGTCAAGGTTTGAACCCTGCATGACCTCGAGCAAGTGGCTAAATGTTCCTGATTCTTGGTCTCCTTTCTAGAAAAAGGACACAGGTAATTCCTACTGCACAGGATTATTGTTGAGTGCATAGGAGAGCAACAAATGTCAGATATTGTTGGTTTCAATAATTAAGCATCCCTTCTTTTTTCTAAAGGGCCCACTAGGCCTCAACACAGAGATATCTTTATTATTTGACAAGCCCGCATGTGCCAGCTCTGTCTGGGTGCTGGTGAGGAAGAGGGTGATAGGTTCTATTGCCTCCATCTTTAGGGAGTCCAGAGGAGGAGCATATCTATAAGCTTTGAGTTTCCAGAAGAGCTGGTTTCAATGGAAGCTTGGAGGATGCACAGGAAGAAGACTGACAAGCTAAAGAGGGCATTGCAGCTGAGAGAATCTGCAAGTGTGAAGCCTGAGAGGTGGGAAGGCCCTTGCTAATCCAGCCAGCAGGGTGAGATATTTGTAGATGGAGCCATGGATGGTGGGCAGGGTGGGGCAGGGAGGAGGGGCAGAAACTAGAGAGGATGAGCCATGCATGTCCAAGTCTATCTAAGGACTCTGAACTTGGCTCATTTGGGAATGCAGGGTCTTAGAATAGTTTTGGAAGGGGAGAAACAGTCTCAGATCTGTATTATCAAACTGACAATGAGATAAAGGATGAATCAGAATTGGAGGGGATGAGACAGTAGACTAGAAAATGGTAAAAAATTCAATCTGGCAAGCACTAGTTTTAGAGACAGTTTAGTCTTTTTGGTGGACCTGGCAGCCTTACAGACTGGTTACCCATTTCACAGAACCACACAGTGCTTGGGCCCCCTCTGTCAGCAAGAGCACAGCTCTAGGAGCCAGATAGGACTATGCTTGCTGATTATTAAAGCACATGCTAATTCCATCACATCTGCAAAGCCCATCGAACATGTCTCCCATAATCCTAACATCTACAGGCAAATGTTCTTAACCTTCTTTGGCCTATTTCTGTCCTGTCTTTTTCTTCTAAGCTCTTGCCACAAATTTGGGACCATGCCATATGTATGCGAATGTATGTTTGCTTTCTTCAAAAGCCTTCCTAGTGCTGGGGATTTAGCTCAGTGGAGCCACTGCCTGCCTCACAAGCTCAAGGTCCTGAGTTTGATCCCCAGTACAAAAAAAAAAAAAAAAAAAAGGCCTTCCTTTTCCTATAGCCACATGCCTGTGCCTATTGTTGGACATTTAGGCACTGCCTGTTGATGAATATCTTGGCAAGTGAGAGCACCTTTGTTTATATTCCTGTCATTTCATTTGGATGTACTCTTCCTTTAAAACATTTTTGGCGAAAGAACCTCTCTGACCTGCCGAAAAGCCCTCTTCTCCATTAGCCGGGATTTCTTTCCCAAAGATGAGCTAAATTCTTGGAAATGGACCTTAATCCTGCTTTTCCTTCTTGGGATATTGGTGAAGAGGACCACAGCTGGCCTTTTTTTCCCCATAGATAAGTTGGCTGGGAGGGTCCGTTCAATTAGTCATCAGCTTAGGACAGAGGGGGAAAGTTCTTGCCAGTGAAACCAGGAGAATCAGTCAAAGCTGGGACTAATAGAAATCTTAACTGGAACAAGATGACAGAGGAAGCTGGCTGGCTGGGCTGGGGTGACTCAGCCTGCTCTCAGCTTCCTGAGTCTATTCCTCGAGCCCCCTAAAAAATTGCTTGCCAAAGGTACCCACGTCCCATTGCCAACCTTTGGGTTCATCTTCTCCAGTGATTATGTAGTGGTTCTTCTATTACACACGGAACAGAAACAACATTGATCAGGCAGGTGCCAGACACTGTTTTATGCATTTTCCATTGTCATATTTTGGAGTCAGTATGGTACCAGCAGACGCACCCCAGGATCAAGCAGGCTAATCCCACAGCAGGCATTCCCTACCGGTGGAAACCATTTGGAGGTCACTTACTTGGGCAAGCCTGGGTTTCCTTATCTGTAAGTAGCGGTTTAATAGCACTAGCTCCTCAGAATCATTGTGTAGCCACCACTGCATACATAATGAATCTGGTGCCAGGCCTGCACCAAGCAGGTGCTCAAGAAAGGTGATTTTAAAAATTATTTCCAGTTCTCCTTATATCCCAAGACAAGAGATACCAATAAATGTAATTTATTCAACTACCTTGGTTAACCTCTAGAGACAGGGAAGTCATTAATAGGCAGGAATTAATAACTTCCTTTTATAAATAAGAAAACGGAGGCTTGACAGAAGCGGTCATCTGAGAGATGTTGTGTCTTAGAGAAACATCAGCCCGAGGATGTGCATCCAGGGTGGGGAGCTGGATTCCAGTTCCCCAGTCCCCACTTTATGCTCATCCCTTTGTCCATTTCTGGCAAGGGGGACTAAGGGAACCCGACATATACACACGAGTTCCCGGGGAAACAACCACAGGTCAGTCTTGGGCCACCTATGCTAGGGTATGACACCTGCCACTAGGGGACACCAGAGCTCAAAGGCACCTTTCTACCCCACCCCTTGATCATCACAACCTGCCTCAAAGGGAGCCTTAACTCTAGCCTTTCCACTGTAGAGGAAACAGGCTCACAGGTTCAAGGTCACAGTGCTACCAAGAGACCAAAGTGAGACTCAGAGTTGAGCCCACTTGCCCCACTCATCTCGCAGAATCTCTGTCCCCACGTCCCCGGAGGACTTGCAGCCAGCCCAGTGTGCTTGGTTCTCGCTCCTGGGTATAGAGCATCAGCTCAAGATGGGAAAGGCCAGTCCTTTTGAAAACCTAGAAGTCCTCCTCCCACCGGCCCAGGCCCTCTACTGACATTCATTCCTTAAACACAGTCCTTCCGTGCTCCGACAGATACATCTCCCGAAGAAAACGCCAGCACACAGACCCGGGAAACGGGCTGTTTCGGCTAAAGTGGACTTTCCACACCTACCTTAGCGGGCGCAGGGAACCTAAAGCGGACCTCACATCCTTTGCACTGACGCGGGCTCAGGCTGCTTTCCTTGGTCACAACGCCCCCTTGGGGCGGATGAGATCCCCGAGGGTCTCAAAGAAGGAAAGTAAGGCTTGCAAGCTGAGGGCGCTTGCCCAAGGTCAGGCGCCAGGAGCAAGCTGCGGGCCCCCGCTGCAACTGGGGACCGGAGCCACGACAGCCAAAGGATCCAGGAACAAGAGCCCAAGGTAGCGACCGTCCCGTCTCCCCGCCAGCCCACCCACGATCCACCCGAACCGAGGCCCTGTGGGAGGCTGCGGTCGCATTACCTGGTGCTACTGAGCGCTGGCAGGGGCCCCGTGCCCGCGCCGCTGCGCCCCTGGGCAGGGATGCA